TTTATGGGGCCTCTGAGCCGATAAAACTTATGCTACCAACCAATCATGACTTTCCAGCACCCTTCCCTACCGCTCCACAACTATCGAGAGGGGTCCCATACGAACTCATTGTGCCGAACAGCGGATCCGACAGATCCCTAGATTTGCCGCTGAAAGGAAATATCGATATTGTTCTAACCAAAGTAACGCAAATGATCCAAATTAGTGAAACCATTGGTAATAAAAGTAATAAGTGAATGCGTGGAATTGTTGGGGCGCTTCAGCAAGTTCCTAGTAGGTACCTACCATATTTTACATTTCTGCTTCTCAGAAACAAAATAAATCATTCCTCAGACTAAACAACTCGTACATAACCATTGGGTAATAATTCACCACTCTTGAAGGTTTTGATAACAAAGTTGACAAAACATTTCTTAGACGACAGGCACGAATAAAACTCGCTCTCACAGCAGTCCTTTATTGTTTATGAAGCATAACATAATAGATCACATGAACGTTTATGCTAAGGTGCTATTTCTGTCCTTATTGGTATGTATGTATGTATGTACCTAACGATTCCGACAACTGTCGGTAGCTGGGTAGACGCAATCAAAGACTTCATGCCCTAGCCTAGATGCAATTAGCTCGTGGAAAGTACTGCAATATGTGCTGATAGATTTAATTCGCCATATCGACAGCTTGGATTAGAATTGAACTAGCCTGGACGATCAATAGAGTTAGTACATAATATTGTAGCAGATTTATTTTGCTATAAGTAAATATACTCTTAAAAATAGACAAACTATTGAGGTTGTGCGGTTTCAACTTGTGGTTTAAAACGCGGGGCATAACAACAAGATACCAAAACTGGAACATGAATTAATTGGCTAAAAGTACAATGTACTGAAATGTCAGAATTTGAGAACTAGTTTCGTATGTGCAGTCGTTTGTGTTCATTTTAGGGCAACGGTCATTGCAGATTTCAGTGGTATAAATAACGAATATCGCATATATACAGTGCTTTTCTTTAATCTCCCCCTCCCCTTTGATTTTTTGAACGGATCAATTCAAAAAATTAAAACTTGAGGTAATGAAATTGATGCGTGGATGCCATATTTTAGAGTAAAATTGACAGATGAAAATGTCAATATGACCGCCGGGCGCCATTGGAAAAAAATTATACATCACATCATCATTTTAAAGCTCCTGACAAGTACTTATTTATAACCCTTGAATATAAAGTCAATACCTTTACCTGCTACAAAATGGTGGTACATTTAATAATTTCCTGAATACATTGACATCTAACTTGATAATTCGAATAAATACGTTGAGTCCAGTTCAGAAGATGCTAGAAATGGTTGCCCTGAACTTCTTGACACAATAGCAGCCAGTCCGTAATTTATCGTTGAACATTTTCAAACATAGTAACATCGATATTTCTACAAATATTTGTTATTCTCAGCCGTATATCCAATATTGAAGCAGGCTCAGTTTCGTAAACCTTTTGCTTCAAATAGCCCCATAAAAAAAGTCTAGAGATGTCAAATCTGGGGAGCGAGCTGGCCATTCCACAGAACCTCGACGGCCAATCCAACGACCGGGGAAATTGTCATCTAAATAATTCCTAACTTGTCTGTAGTAGTGTGGTGTAGCACCTTCTTGCTGGAATACAATATTAGTATCGAATTCATTAGGATTCGCTTCGACGATTTCGGTGATTAGTCAATAGTATTTTCCAGCATATCCAAATACAGTTCCCGGTTAAAGTTTGTCCGATGAATAGAGGCTCCACAATAAGATTTCCCCAATATCCCAGCCCAAATGTTAATTTTTTGTGGATTAGGAGTATGAGTTTCCCGGAAGACGTGAGAATTGGTCTCACTCCAATAACGACAATTTGTCTACACACATTACCGTTGAGAAAAATGTACATTAATCACTAAAACAAATATTTTGGATATAGATAGGATGCCGTGCAATGGTTTCCGTCATAGTCTCGCAGAATTCTGTTCTTCGATCAGGGTCATCTTCAGTTAGCTGATGTACCATTTGAATTTTGTATGGGTGATACTTATTCTTTTTCAAGAGTCTCCATACACTAGAAGGACAACCCTCACATACGTTCGCGATGGAGGAAGTAGACTGTTGGGGATTTACTATGATCTCACCAATTATTTGAACTTGCTTTTATTCCGGGGTGGTCGGATGACCTGGGGGCTTTTTGTTGTTTACACTACCAGTAGCTGTAAATTTAGTTACAAGTTCCCTTAAATATTTTCTACAGATAGGACGATTCAGGAAACGATCATTAAAAATCCTTTCGGTCTCGTGAAAGTTACGCGTTGCACCATAAATACAAATCGCTTCGATTTTTTCTTCCAGTGGACGAGAATTGACCTTTTTAAAAATTGTCCACACAATACTAGCATTTTGCTAAAATGCCGAAACCTCTGGATCGACAAGCTAAAGAATTCGTCATTTCTTTGACGAAATATTTTGAGACCGAACGAGATCATGGAGCTCCATTATTGCCTTTACAGTCCGTAGGAGAGGTATTAGGTAGTAAATAGAATTTACACTACCTCTAGCGTTTAGAAAACATACGCTCCGTAATGTTGGTTGCGGTAAGTCATTGAAGACATAAAGTAGATTTTGTAAAACTTCATAGGGTCTAGTAGAAATTAAGGTTGATTCTCACTATACATTCCTTTTCCATTCCGTAACCGTTCCGTAAATTATTGAAATTAAATATTCGCCTTTGCTTGAAGCAGGCTATTGCGTGTGTATGCACATTATCCGTAAGATATACTGTGTATACAATCACATTGTACGGAACCTTTACGAAACTGATATGGAATGGAAACGGAATATATAGTGAGAATCAACATTAATCTAACCTTGTACCGTAACTGCTTTGATTCAGTGAATAAGTTATACCACTTCGTTGACCGGTCGGCTTCTATCTCTTTCTAATATGTGTTTTTAAACACTTCCCGCGCTTCTCTCTCATAATATGGTTGTCATCGCAACGTTACAGGAAGGTCGGTAGGGTGCATAGCAATTTCTAGATGCAACGTTTGTCAAAAGGGTGGGGAGTGGAGAACTAGTTCTATATGGGGCTATATTCAACTGACTTGACCCATTTAGTTCCTTTGTTATATACAGGTTGATTCACAAGTCGTGACCAAAAATGAAACATCATACACAGGACCGCATTTTAAGGGGGGTCATCTATGTAACATTTTTTCCTCGAGGGCTTCATTAAAAAGATACGGGGTGTTGAAGTTTAAAAATAAAAAAAAATATCTTCAAAACCGTCAACTGAATTGAACTAAAATTTGGTATGTGGCTTTACCTAAGTATTGTCCACATTCAAAAGTCTTTACTTAAAATTAATGTGCACCAGTGGTGGAGATACAGGGGATTAGTGGCATTATTTTTCCAAATAAAAATAGTACACCACTGTTTTTTTGGCGCAATTTTTTGAATTTCACCTTCAATTTGCTACAAATAATAAATTACTCTTGTTTTTTCCTAATGAACTGTTTTCGTAAAAATAAAAATAAAACAAATCAGATCATTCACGAAGAGCCGAGATACAATATTAGTTTCAAAATAAAATAGGAGGCCTTGACGTTTCTTGGGAGATAGTTTGTCATAGTTATGCGTTGTACGGTTGTTATCGTTACTACTACCATTTTTTTTTTGTAAAAGTAAAGTCAATAGTTATTTATTATTATTATTTATTATATTTATTATTTTCCCGTGTATACACAATTTTCTGTGACGGGAAAAATTATATTATTACAATATTTAAGTCAGAAAATTATCGATGTGAGATTTGAATTTTGAAATTAGGAGGCTATGTGGTACTTATAGCGACAATTAGACCTACGTTGCTAACGAAACTTTTAAAGTAATCAAATAGCTGTCAATTTCATTTTGTGATTTGATTTAAAAATTGTGAACTTGGTGGTTGTTATTTTTAATACTATAAAGTAAAAAATGTCTGATTCCGAGTTTTCTTTGACTCCATCGGAATTTGTAGAAGTAGCCAAAGTAGCGTCACAAAAATTATTGCCAGCTAAGTCGCGGATATACAATATCCAGGAAAAAAGTACTCATTTTTTCGTCGCTAAAAAAGTAATTTCATAAGAAGTGACATTTTGTAACCTGTCAACAAAGATAAAATGTCAAACTTTTTTCCCGTCACAGAAAAAAGTTTCATTTTTCCATTTTTGAGTGTTGTGAAATGGAATTTGGCAATGATGAGTACCCCGATATTATTTTTGTGTACGGGTCCTGTAATGGAGGATGTGCTGGGTATACTGGGGAATATGAACCGGACCCTGGTTACTCGTGATTGGGTTGTCCTACATCAATGGACAAACTTAGACCTTCGGTATAGGTGATGCGTCGCTGGAGGCGCTGAGGCGTCTGGACTTCAGACCGTACTTTGGCTTCGGCCAGGTACGATTTCGTCTGAGGCCCAGGGCTCACGGAACAGCATCCGGGACACGGGGGACTAATTCACCAATAGTCCCGCCGCCGATGATGCGTCGTCGGTGGGACAGCCATCCCTCCTGCTGCAACTGGTATCGACTCTACCAAAGGGAAGACTATATAAAGGCAAAAAGAAACCCAAGAAGGGGAAGGGAGGTCCTGGGGCACACAAAAGCTCCAACGGCCCACTTGAACCGCCACCGGGTCCTGGCGGGGAGAGAGATCCACTAGGAAGTTGCAGCTCTGCAGCATAATGGCTCAAACACTGAGCCTGCTGCAGATTAATCTGCAACATGCCAAGGCCACCACGAACGTCCTTGGCACTATATTCCAAAGGGATGGAATTGATATCGCCCTTATCCAGGAACCATGGAACTTGAACATAGGTCGAGCATCCGAACTTGGAGGGACATCTGGCACGGTAATAGCATCACCATCGGTAACCAATCCGAGGGCATGCATCCTTGCCAGGAAAGCTCTAAAATACTGTTCTCGCAGATTTCTCCGATAGGGACATGGTGTCTATCCACTTGACCCTACCAGGGGAAGTAGAGGTTGTAGTTACCTCTGCCTATTTTCCTGGGGATGTAGAAGAATCACCTCCTCCCCGGCTGGTGCGGAACTTAATCGACCATTGCAGGAGGAAGAACGTGCACCTGGTACTAGGATGCGACTCTAACGCTCAACACACGGCCTGGGCGAGCACAGATGTTAACCAACGAGGTGAGTCTCTGTTTAACTATTTAATCGAGGAGGGACTAGTGGTTAACAATAAAGGCGTTGAGCCTACCTTTATTACTAGAAGTAGGAAAGAGGTACTTGACTTGATAATTACCACTAATTATTTAAGCAGCAAGTTCAAAGATTGGTGGGTAACGTTGTAACCCTCGCGTTCTGATCACCTACATATTCCCTTTGAGATTGCAACGGGTGTAAGTCCCATGGTATACTACAGAAATGTGAGGAATACGGACGGATGGATATAAAACGACTAAACGACCCTGAAGGAAAACCTGCATTCCTGTAGTATGTAGTAGGACCATAACAACTAAAGATCAACTGGATTTCATGGCACATCGGGTAACGCAGGCCATAAGTTCAGCCTATCAGAAAAACTGTATACTCAAGGCGAAAAAAGACAACCGGAGTACGCCTTGGTAGAATAACAGTCTTAATAAGAAAAGGATAGAGGTTCTGGTGAGTGGGACCAGTATAGGAGGGCCTTAACCGACTATAATAAAGCGGTCCGCAAAGCCAAAGCTGAGTCATGGAAAAGGTTCTGCGAGAGCATATCAGATGCACCGAGCAGTGCTAGGGTCTACAAGATCCTCTCCAAGGATTGTGGACAGGAGCTGACGTCGAGCAAGCGACCAGACTGCACGTTCACACACAGTCCATGGGAGAAACCTGAAGATCCTTGCGAAAAACCACTTTAAAGGAAGTATAACCTCTGCTGACTTGCTGGCCAATTTCCGGAGAATCGGACGGATGAAGGACCCCACAGGGGAGACTGGCAGGTTGTCAGAACCAAAGTAACTCCTGATGCGGTTAAAGGAGCTCTAAAATCATTTAAGCCCTTCAAATCGTCACGAGAGGATGGCATGTATCCAGCTCTACTACAAGTTGGACTGGAAGGGTAGTCTATATACCGAAACCTGGAAGGACAGATCCAGTGGCGAAGTCCCTCAGACCAATTAGTCTGACCTCATTTCTACAGAAAGGCTTTGAAAAGACATAGAGGGAGCATTTAACAATACCTTACTAGAATCCATCTATGAATCAATCGCCTCCAGGTGTGTTATGATTCCTCTGATCTGCGGCTGGATCAGAAGCATGTTGCCGTGCAGAATCATAATGATATCGTTACAGGGGGAGACACTCAGATTTAAAGCTGCTAGGGGGTGTCCACAGGGAGGGGTGTTATCTCCCCTTTTGTGGTCGCTTCTGGTAGATAATCTGATTGGCATTATTCGCCTATGGGAGGCCGAGATTCAAGCATATGCAGACGATCTAGTCGTCCTAGTCAGAGGGACATGTGGGAAACATATCTCGGGAACACTCCAGGAGGTGTTAACCGCAATAGCGGATTTGTGCGAAGGGGAAGGAATGTCAATCAACCCGCAAAAAATGGTCATCGTACCTTTCACCAGAAAGAGAAAACTGGATGGGATTAAACCTCCAACAATCCAAGGTGAAAATGTACCGGTTGCAAAAGAGGCGAAATATCTAGGAATAATCTTAGATAACGCACTAAACTGGTATTCACATCTGGAAACAGTCCTTAAGAAGGCAAGGATCTCGCTATGGATCTGGGGTCTGTGAAAATAACTGGGGAATGAAGCCTAAACAGATGTTTTGGTTTTATACCATGGTCATTAGACCTATGATAACCTATGGATGTGTAGCTTGGTGGGGCAAGGCAGCACAAAGAACTGCCCAATCCAAACTGAGCGCAATACAGAGAGAAGCTTGTATGTTGATCACTGATGGTGCCTTTCCTAACACACAAACTGTAGCTATGAAGGTCCTTCTTAATTTACCCCCCTTGCACATATACCGGGAAGGCGAGGCAAGAAGGACATCTTATAGATTACATCATATGGCAAATGATATAATGGAGGAGCGGACATGCTGGTGAACTTACAAAACCACCCCTGTCTGGGAACGCCTTCTGATATAATGCCAAAGATAACAAAATATACTAAGCCCACTCAGTGACAATTTCACACAGGAATGAGTGGGAACAGTAAGTTAACCTGATAAGGAAAGATATCTGTGCTTTTACAGATGGCTCCAAGACCGAGATAGGTGTTGGAGCTGGTATCTTCGTGCCGAAGCTAAAGATTAAACAATCTGTTAGCCTAGGAACCTGGGCAACGATCTTCCATGCAGAGCTATATGCTATAGAACTGAGTGCCAGAATGATTGCAGAACGAAAACTGAGACACAGAACCATAATTATTTTTTTCAGATAGTCAAGCCGCACGTAAAGCACTTGACATCGAAATTAATGTGGAATTGCAAGAAGCTCTCGGTGGCATAGGGGCGGGAAATGAAGACCGTCTCATATATTTAGATACCAGGGCACACAGGTCTAGAGGGAAACGAGACATCTGGCACTCTGGCAAGGAGTGAGGCTAGCACACCCTTCATAGGGCCTGAGCCATCGATTGGGATCGCATACAATACGGCTAAACAAAATAATCTCTGAAGAGATGGACAGAAACATCCATCAATACTGGGACGGATTAGCAGGGTTAACCCATGCTAAGGCAACTATACCAATTTTGACAAGAAGGACTCTTTGCTACGGCTGAACAGAAATAGCCATAAAGCTCTAGTAGGCCTGTACACTGGTCATTGCAAACTGCGTCACCACATGAGCAGGCTGGGCATGGCGGAAGACGCTAACTGTGAAAAACTACGCGAGGATTCTGTTTACAAAACTTGAGCATCCTGACTGGTCCTGTTGGAAAGGGGCACTTCGTTGGATACAACGGCGATAAACACGTACTCCAATCTTGAAATTCAAAATTTTTTCCACAATCAATGACTTCAAATTGTGTAGGTTTCACACGGCAATTTTGCAATTCATCTCTCCAGTCATCCGGTACCTCAGTGTATGGTCTTTGGTTCATGAGACTCATATCTATATCACACTCGAGGTAATTCATACAATCGCCCCCTGATCGGGAATATTACTTTCACAGTAGTAAAACGATTTTTGTTGGTAACCAAGTAATGCAAAAACCGAATAACTGTAAAGTTTTTATTTTACCTGCACAGGAGTCACAGAAAATGGCAAGTTTTTTTACGTCCATAGGCAGGATGTTATAAAAAAAGTGATACACCATAGTACAGACATCGTCAGCTCCTTTCTTAGCAACAGATTCATTGAAGGTATAAAAGATAGAATTTGAGTTTGGCAGAATGTGGATGTTAAAACTGATGAAATTTAGTTGCCGCTTTTAGTAAACATCATTTGTCGTGATATTTGGACAGGGCAAGTTTTTTTGGTAATTCATCGTGATACTTTCGATAGTGGGGAACTTCGAGGCACGTTTGCGGTAAGTTCTCTTTAGACTGTAAAATCGCTCACTCCTTCTTTGATGTAGTGTCTTCTCAAGTGTCTTTTTCTTTAAATGATTGCTTGCTGACTGTCTAGTTTGTTCCGTGTGGGAATTTAAGGTAGCGGTAAGTGAAGATATATCAGCTTTAAGGAATCACACGTACTACAAGTATCTTTTCGTGGATAACCGAACGATATATTGAAGTTGTTTTCAAAGATTTCTCGGAAGGATAATAAGGAAATCTTGTTTTCAACTTTGCAAATAGAATACAATTAGTGTAATTTTGCGATATTTAGATTTTTAGGTATGTAAACTTTGTACGAATCTGCTAAAGAATAATGAGATTTGCTGCATTTAAGGCTCTTAATAAACTCGGTCACTTTCTGTTTTGTGTTTTCTGAAAGTTTGTGAAGTATTTCCTAGTTCGTTAAATTCACGAAGAAGTCTACAGCGTTCAGGTTCAGGAACAGTAGTAAAACAGCGAAAACGTTCACAAAAACAATCAGATCCAAGTTCGTGGGTAGTGGCGCGCAACGTTTTCAATACGTATCTATGTCTTTTCGTTTCCATATGGACTGATGCCGTTTTCCATACACGCGCAGGGACACATGCCATTCTTCCCCGACACATTGAATTTTATAGCTGTTGTTTTGTGAATCTATGCCGTTTTTACAATTTAAGCATAGGAACTAGATTTAAAGGGTCCCTAACAACAGTAATGATTATAACTAATAAGGTGCTCTACTTTATGCAAAAACTGAAGTCAGCCTGAATCAAGTTTCCCAAAAGTGAAGCCAGACATATAAAACTACTCCTGAGTTGGGTAAATACCACAATTTTGCGGTGATAACTATGACATATAACAGCTGATTAATGACGTCACATATCTTATAACCAAACTAATAATCACATTCGCTTGAATGAATCGGTAAATACCAATCCAAAATGGTAAATACCATTTTCAATTGGTTATTCGCTTGAATTTAATTTTGTATTTGTGTTTGAATGGCTGGGTGCTTCGAAGGTAGGTTTTTCGTAACTACAAATTTCATTAACACCTAACATGTTGGTGAAATTGTATAAGAGAACAACTCATTTTCTTCTAAGTGATTGTAATCGACAAGGAGCATCCTGGTCGCTTGGAAAAAGCTTTAGTGATAAAGAGATTCAAAATTGGAAGGATGTATTTGTTAGAACATTACGACTATTGAGGATTTCTACTTGATTCAACTTCACAAATGTGGAGTGCTATGAAACATTGAAGAAGCAAGAGTTGCAGGTATACTTTATCTGAAGTCACTTGAAACACTGTGAAATACCGGGTGCGTTTTATATATATATTTAACACGCTCTGTTGCTGCAAAAATCGCCAAATTTCGCAGCAAATATCCCCCGTATAAGATCAAAGGCAGTTTCACCGGTCCACGTGGAGTAAAGCACGCGTATGCGTGGACATAGCCAATGAGAAAGCGTGTATTTCAGAGCTCCGAACAACTGCAGGTGGCTACTGAAAATTGAAACAGTTTAGCCAGTGCCGTGTAGCGGTGAATAAACGTGTTTTCTTTAGTCTGTCCGTGTTTTTTCATAGATTTTATTAGTTTGTGTGTTTTTGACTTTTGAATACTCTGTTTACTTGTTGATTTAATTGTTGTGTTGATTGTTCTTGTGTGTCCTAAATATGGCTCTTTGGAGACCTTGGGAAAATGCTCCAAGCCACGAGGAGATGGTTGATGAACCTGTGCAGGCAGAATTCTTTCATAAAGATTTAGAGGAACAGACCCAAAGAGTATTCCTAAATATGTATGATTGTCTGAAAAACGAAAATCCAGATTCCTCGCAAAATCAAATTTTAAACAGAATTTGTATCCTGACAAAAATCAGTCGGTCTACCATTTATCGGGTTATAAAAAGGGGAGATGAAGTCAACCATTCCTTCCACAGAAAGCGCATAGGGCAAAAATTAAAAAGAATAGACGTGGGTTTTCAGGAAGATATTCGTCGTATAATATACGGATTTTATAAAGAAAATTTGGTGCCCACGTTGGAAATGATACGGGATAAATTAAAAGATTATCCTGAAGATTTTTATAATTACAAATGCTTAGACTCACTGCACTGTATTGTAAAACTGTGGTTTTCAATACAAAAAATTGGATAAAAGAATGGTGATTGTGGAGTCGTCTCGAATCGTTGAATTGCGCCAAGAATTTTTGCACAAAGTTAAAATCTATAGAGAGCAGAAAAGAAATCTGATTTACCTGGATGAAACGTGGTATGATACCCATGATGTTGTGCAGTACGGCTGGGTTGACGACAGCAACAAGTGCATTTTAAATGCACCATGCAACCGTGGAAAACGAATCATTATTCTCCATGCTGGCAGTGAAAATGGATTTATAGGGTAAACATACCAGTTATTGGACACTGGGAGCTATTGGACATCCCAATTATTTCAAGCGAAAACAAGAATTCTGTATTCATCAGTGAGCCAAGTTTTGTTGAGATGTCACCATTGTACTATTAGTATCAATATTGACATAAATGACATTTGATTGACGTGTCTGTTTTGGCGCCAAAGGTGAGATTCTTTGGTTATGCACCGAACAGACGGTTTTCTTAAGCCTATCATAAGAAATTTTAGGTGAATTCGAGTACTATAATTAGTGGTGAAATTTTACCGTAGTGCTCAGAGTAAATATACAAGGTAGCGGTGCAGTGTAAGTAAACATTTTTAAGGTTTAAATCAATATATTTAAGTCTAGGTTATGTTTTATAGGGGTGTCAAATAACTGACGTAAAATATGATTACTTTCAGTTGTTGGACACCCGTCCAATAACTGCATTTTGGAATGTGTATACCGAGGTGTATACAGTTTTTGTGAGAAACATTTGTGCGGCTTCTCTGTTTCCGGCACTTCGAGTTTGGTGTCAATATTTACAGTGTAGCCAGTTATTGGACGCCTGTCCAATAACTGGTTTACAATCTGTCTTATAACTGAAACGTTTATTTACAGTTTTTTATGTGCCTAAAACAATGCCCAAGAAAAATGAATATGATGCGGAATCGATGGAAGCCGCGATAAATGACGTCAAGAATAACAACATGTCATATAGAAATGCGGCAAACAAATACGGTGTACCTAAATCAACGCTCGAATTTAAAATAAAAAATCCTGGTCATAAAGATACATGCGGTCCAAATCCAATCCTGTCAGCAAGAGAAGAGTCCGATCTTGTGAGGTAAAGTTAATTTTGTTTGGTGAGATATTGAACTGTTTGATAACTGTTTTTATTTTTGCAGGTGGATAGAAGAGCTGGCAACAAAAGGATTCTCTAGGAAACGAGACGACATTTTAAATAGCGTTCACAAATTTTTGACTGAAAATCCACGGCCTAATCCCTTTAAAAACAACAGACCCGGTGAGAGTTGGTTCAAGGTAATGAGGCATCAAAGTGCATTTGGAAAATAGAGGTGACTAAAATAGCACTTTATGTTCTAGGCTTTCCTAAAAAGACATCCAGCCCTTGTGCAGCGAACAAGTGAAGCAGTAAGTGACGCCAGCGCTTGTGTTTCGGAAGCAGACATTCGGAAATGGTTCAAAGATATAAATAGTTATCTTATCTCGAAAAATATTGTGATTGATGACCCTTCAAGAATTTACAATGGCGACGAATCCGGATTTCAGATTTGCCCAAAAACTGGCAAAGTTTTTGCTAGGAAAGGCGCGAAGAATGTTTATTCTGTGGAAAAGGGATCATCTAAGGAAAGCATCACTGTCATGTTTTCATTTTCTGCTTCGGGGTTAACTTGTCCACCTATGATAATTTATGGTTACAAGCGAATTCCAGAAAAAATAAGCCAGACCGTCAAAGACCCTGATTGGGGCATTGGAAGATCGGATAATGGATGGATGACGGCGGAAACGTTCTATGATTATGTGAAAAACGTATTTTATCCATTCTTGGTGAAAAATAATATACACTTCGCTGTATTATTATTTTTAGATGGTCATAAGTCTCATTTAACTTATGAGTTAAGTATACTTTGCAATGAACTAAACATTGAAGTTATAGCCTTATATCCGAATGCAACGAGAATTCTTCAACCATGTGATGTTGCAGTATTCAGGCCCATAAAAATGGGATGGAAAAAGGCCGTACGAGAGTTTTACGAACAAAATCCTGGAGAAGTTCTAAATAAAATAACATTTGCTCCTCTATTAGAAAAAGTAGTGGCAAAACATATCAAAAAGGAAACTTTAATTAATGGATTTCGTGCGTGTGGTTTATTCCCTTTTAACCCAGATGCTGTTGATTACACGAAGTGCTTGGGAAACCAAAAAGAGCATCCTGAAGTAATTATAAAACCGTTCTTATTTACCTATAAGTTAATTGCCCCTTATCACATTTTTAGGTAAAAAGGATACCCCCGCGCATGGACCATAGAACATTTGTCAGTTTGACTGGAGAAAATTTAATCAAGAGATTAAAATCTTTCGATAATCTTTTGATTGAATAAGGTAATACCGAAGAGTTTTTGAGTTTGTACCAAATATGGAGTTATTTTGAAAAGCCAGATTGCTTGCCAGAAATGAGAGACGTGCCAAGATTTGATAATCAGGTATTGAACTCGTCTGAGGCTGAACCTGAGTTAGATCCATCTGAGAGCCAACCATCAACTGCACCAGAAAATAAAATAAATTTGGATGCTGAATTGAATCCATCTGAGAATCAACTTTCAAAAGAACCACAAATCAATATAACACAAAATATAGTCATAAAACCTGGCAAAGACACTATCTATAGTTTGCCATCTACTAGTAAAAATATAGGTGACTACTTAGTAGTTCCAGAAAAACCAACAAGAAAGAATAAACGTAATATCGAAAGAGTTTCCTTTGCTATAACATCAAAAGAGTATCAAGAGAGTTTTGAAAAAAAACGTGCCTTAAAGTTAGAATTAGAAAATAAAAAATTGGAGAGAAAACGGAAAAGAGAAGAGAGTGTCGCAGCAAAAGCTTTAAAAAAGAGTGCGCAAGGTAATGACAAAGATAATAATTCATGTTTTGTATGCAAAGTTCGTACAATAAAGAATCATTACTTAACATGTAACAGCTGCAAGAAAAGAATTCACCAACGATGTATTCCGAAAAAACATAACGAACATATTCCTGAAGAAGGTGAAAAAATAGAAAGCAATAAAGATCAAGAACCAAAAGAAATTGGCAATAAGAAGATTAACGAAATAAATGCACAGGAACAAAATTACAATTTGCCCGTCGAATCAAAACAAGTAGAAAGTAGGGAAGGTAATAAAGTGGATGAGCAAGATGAAACTAACAGCAAAGTTTATGGAAACCCGGGAGAAATAGAAAGTGAAGAAGTAATTGAAACAGACGATCAAATAAAAACTGACAGCAAAATGTGCAAGGAACCTAAAATGGGAAGTGAAGAAGATCTTGAAGATTATGACGACATGGACGTCGAAGAATTATTTCATATGTACCAATCTGAAATGAAAAAATTTAAATAATTCATAGTTGAGGTTCAATAAAAGCTTTTTAACACTGATTTCAACTTTTTATTTGCTTTTAATCATCACCTTGCCAGTGTCCAATAACTGGAAGTTTTGGGTCCATTAATTGAATTTTTTGTCCAATAACTAACTTTTCGGAACCTTTTCAGGTATTTTCAATTTTTATTAAAGAGCTGTAATATTAGGAATATTTGAAATCCGTCAGCTTAAAATAGGATGCATGTATGAAAACCTGGCATAGGCAGAATGATATCCGTTAAAAAATACTCCAGTGGCAGCGACTTGAAATTCAAAAAAAGCTTAACTGTCCAATAACTGGTATGTTTACCCTACCTAATGCCTTGCTGTTATCTGCCAAAAATATCAAAGAATCATGTGCCGACTATCATAAGGACATGACCTCCGACATATTTGAAAAGTGGATAGAGCAGCAGTTAATACCAAACATTTCCCCAAATTCAGTGATTATTATGGACAATGCGCCATACCATTCCCGACAGAAAAACAAAATTCCGAATACAGGCACAAAAAAACAAGACATTATTGATTTTATGAAGGATAAGGGAATGGAAATACCACAAAAATCAACCAAAGCCATATTATTATATATATATATATATATATATATATATATATATATATATTATTAAAAGACAGAAATTTGAAAAAGAGTATGTTGTTGACAATCTGCTTCAGCAAAATGGCCATGAAGTATTACGTCTACCTCCCTATAACTGCATTTTTAACCCGATTGAGTTGGTCTGGGCTCCTTTAAAAAAAAAAAGTAAGAAAACATAATCAGACCCCTCAATTAAGTGAATCGCTATTGGCCACAATAAGAGATGCAGTATCTCATATTGCTGCCACAGACCTATGGAAGCAGTGTTCTAGGCATATTATTGAAAAAGAAAAGGAATATTGTGTTTTGCCTCCTGTAAATCCCGTTGTAATTCCTCTACAAGATGACTCTAGCGACAGCTCCGAAGGCGAGGATAATATATAAATACCTATAATGTAAGTCTTTATATACCTTTTTATATACCTACCTCCTATGTAAATATTTGCCTATGTCAAACGTTGGAATTCTGTAATTTTTCCATTTCTTAACTTTCAGTCAACATAAATTAAACTCCCAATATAAGTATTTTTTATCCCAAATCAAAAAAATAAGAAGATAGTAAAATCCATTTATTGTGATATAAAAACATTATTATTATCGTTCTAAATAAATGACCGCACGCCTATGATACGTCATGAAATTACAAAGGACGCGCCGACCAAAGGTTTTTATGCTGTTTCAAGTGACTTCAGATAAAGCATACTTCATTCAACTGCCAACTCATGGTGATCACAGATAGATAGAATTATAGATTTACCTGCTACTCTTTGTTCTCTTCAGAGCGTATATCTCGACAATTGAGTGATACAGGACAATGGCTAATATGTTTCACAATTACGGCTAATGTAAGTCTATGTCAAATCGATCGATTTATAGTGCTTCTCTGTTAATATTGGTATTCTGTATGAGTGAGAAACTCACGACAATTTCCATGGATTTCAAGTTAAATATGTATACCTTAAAAAGTATGATATATTTCAATGATCCTGTAAAAATTCCTAAATTATATAGACTCATATTTTTTGGACAACTTTAGTATTCTGATTATCACTGTTATGGAAAGTGATTACATATCCCTGTCTTATTATTATTATTATTATTATTAAACAACAAATTTGAGTTGAGTACAAGTACTATAAACTCAAACACATAATAAATAATAGTGTACAGACAAAAGAAATATAACAATTTGACAATCTTAGCACTTCTGAAGTAGACATATACAGAATGGGAACAATATGTTAAGCACTGCGGTGTCTATCATAATTGTTTTTGAAACTGTTGACGGATGCCGAGTTCACTACATAAGATGGAAGACCGTTCCATGCATCGAAGACACGGTTTGAGATAAAGCGCTGACGAGTAGAAGTTCTAAAAGCTTCCTTCTGCAATTTGAAGTTATGGCCTCTGAGATTGTTCGTTGCCAGACGAAACAGATGCGACATGTCCACACCAAACAAATTACGCATTCTTCTATCAGCAAAAGCAGGCAGGTTATATAACTCGAGGCGGTCTTCATAACTCGGCCTACGTGTGCCATAAGGCATACGTGTAGCACGATGCTGAACGGCCTCTAATAAGCTGCTATCGCGAACAAGGTTTGAATCCCATACCGGAGCAGCAAAGTCCAGTAGGGGTCGTACGAAAGTTGTGTACAAGAAGGAGGAGGTACTAACGGTGCAACCGCTAAATGATCTTTCCATCATATATAGCAACCGCTTTGCCTTAGAGGTATGTTCTGATTGTGCTCCGACCAGGTGAGCCGGTCATTAACTGTAGACCAAGATCTGTGTGAAGAAAACAGTCTCTAAGGTATGTTTGCCAATCTTATATGTTGATTATTATTTCCCAGGTAGAAAACGTAGCATTTCGAGAGATTTAAAGGCAGGAGCCAAGCTTCTGACCACTTTCTGATCAGCTTGAGGTCTTCTTGAAGCACAGATGAGTTCATGGCAGTGTTATCAGCATAGAGAACATATAGAAGAAGGTCGGGTGGGAAGGTCACTTGTATAAAGAAGAAAAAGTATTGGCCCTAGCACAGATCATTGTGGAACTCCACTGGTGACACCATGGCTAGAAGAATAGGCGTCTCCAACACGCACGGAGAAAGATCTATCTAACAAAAAAGCTTCAATCCATAGCAACAAATTTCCCCTGATTCCGAGATGTTCAAGCTTGTGCAGGAGCCTTTTATGCAGAACTCGATCGAAAGGTCTGGAAAAATCCAGATAAACCACGTCGACCGGTTCATTTGCGTCTAAAGATTTGGTCCAATTGTCGATGCAGTGTAGCATTTTGGTGATAATTGATCTACCAGGAATTAAACCATGTTTGTTGCTAGGCAGCAGGTTGTTCATGAACGCAAATGTCATAAGTTGTTCTTGGACGATCTTTTCTGCTATTTTCGCAGCTATAGGTACAAGACTGATAGAACGGTAGTTTTTCGCAGATGTTTTGTCTCCTTTTTTATATATAGGTGTCACAGATGCAGTAAGCCAACAGGAAGGAAGGATGTGATTTTGAAACGAGGAGTTGAATATAATGCACACGGGGTATGCGAGAACTGAAACACAGTACTTCATAACGGCAGAAGTAATTAATCCCATCCTTTCCAGGGGACGAACAAGTTATCAGTTTAGTAAGGTGCCTCTCAATGTCCTGAGGTTGAAAATCTATGTTACAGATGGTCGCTAGGCATCTATGAGGGCTGGATGAGTTCGGAAGAGTACCATCACCATCAGGTTCATTCACAAAATCTTCACTGAAAGCATCGCCAAGAAGATTGGCAGATTTTTCGGCATCAGTATGTAGGTGACCATTGGGAATACGGATTTGTGGGGAAGAAACCTTAGAGTTCAGGGTGGATCTCAAGTACCTAAACAGCTTCTTCTTATCTTTCGATGATACAAGAGTTTGCTCATAATTGCGCTTGGCTTTTTTCAAGTTCTTGGAAAGGATGTTAGAGAAATCCTGTTGTAGTCTACTGGAATCTTTGCCATAACGCTTTTTGAGAGGTTATGGTTAATCCAAGGCTTCCTTGGGTGACTGAATATCTTCTTTGTGGTCGTATGCTTAGTTACTTCCAGTTGGATTCGACGAGAGAATATATCCCACATATCTTCAGTGCTATGTTGTGCAAGCAGGTTGGACCAGTTTATTTCAGACAATGCTCGAATGAGAGCACTGTAGTTTAATAGCTTCACAGTTTTGAAGTGTCTACGTGATGGAGTTTGTACATAGAATTGAAGTGAGGTCAATAAAGTACCGTGATCCGACTTGCCAAAAGGAGGTAGGTAGACTGGAAACAAAGTCAGGATCATTGACAAATATCAGGTCGAGAGTTCTGGGAGCTTGGTCTTCTCTGAATCTCGTCGGATTATCTACGAGTTGGAGGATGTTCGACTTTCGCATTAAATCAATATAAGGGGCAGAAGGGGAGTTGCATTCTGGTAATGTTGTCATGGGCCAGCTAATGTCACGTAAGTTGAAATCACCAGTTAACAGAATGTTTGAATTCTTGGTTAGAAATTCTTCAATGAATTTACACAAATAAACATCACCAGCACAGGGACGCTGCCTGTAGATACATTGCTAATACAAAACTGAAGTTTGGCCGTGTTAGTTCCAAAAAGAGGCTGTTGATACCATCGAAACTCTTGGAGGTAGCAGTTATTGTGAAATTGTCAGCAATTTCGGTACGTACATAAACACAGACCCCACAATACCCCGGCGTGCGAGGGGAATCTACCCTATACAAACAGTAACCAGGCAAATTAACAGAGTCAGGTGTATTTGGGCTGAGCCAGGTTTCTGTCAGGCAACGAAATGAAGGTTTGGTTCCATCAACAAACGCTTGCACTTCGAGAAGTTTAGATACCAGTGATTGAATGTTTGTGAAGCACACCGACCACTCGGTTAGCAGCTTTTTGATACAGAAGATTGCTGTGCAACAATATTGACAATGGATGGTCTACCCTTGACATATTTAATAGTGATATTGCGTTCTCCAGCGGTTAGCCTTCGT